GGGGAGCCTTCGTTGAATGCATTCTAGAACTAATAATAATCATTTGCCATCAAGCCAATTCTTATTTATGACAACCCTTTTCGGGTTTTCCAGGTGGAGAATACTGAGGTTTACCCTTCTCTTCTTCTGGGCTTGCCCTGGGACTGTGCAGCTTGTCACAGGCTGGCTGTACTCAAAGCAGGTGCAGTGGGGAATTGAACTCCAAACCTCAGACTCTACGGCCAGATAACTAATAATAATCATTTGCCATCAAGCCAATTCTTATTTATGACAACCCTTTTCGGGTTTTCCAGGTGGAGAATACTGAGGTTTACCCTTCTCTTCTTCTGGGCTTGCCCTGGGACTGTGCAGCTTGTCACAGGCTGGCTGTACTCAAAGCAGGTGCAGTGGGGAATTGAACTCCAAACCTCAGACTCTACGGCCAGATACCTAAACCACCGAGTTATCCAGTCAGCTATTCTAGAAATAGCTCCCTCCTCTTTTTCTTAACAATAGTTACATGAGAATTCCAGCTTCCCAATTTGCCCCCACCTTCAAGCCTCCCCATTCTTCCTCTCCCATCTTAAAGGCATCCTTGATTTCTTCCCTTGTGCAGAGAAAATGGCAGCGACGGGTGAGAAACAAATCTACGTTGTAACCGGTGGCTCTGGTTTTCTGGGGAAACACCTCGTCCAGATGATTTTGGATCAGGAGCCTAACCTTGCAGAAGTGCGTGTTTTTGACTTGCATCTGGATGAAAGCATGCAGGACCTCGACAGAGGTGAGTGGATTATATGCACGTGTTGCAGTTCCCCAAGAATTCTGGGGAGATTAAATGAGCAGTTATCTGATGGCGGGGGGGGGGAATTTGGATAAGCAATTTGTCTGAGTATTGTCAGAGTCTCTGTGAAGAAAGCTCCATGTCACCCAAAACCCGCCAGAAAGTCCCCAAGAGAGTAAAGCTGCTGGATTTATCAATATTGTTAGGATTATTGGGTATTTCACTGGGAGAGTGCAGCAGTCTAGTGCTGAGCTTATGGCTACTAAGACTCCCTGGTCTGGAGATTGATAATAACGCAAAGGGAGGAATTTAATTTTTGTTCATTGAAATCCATTTAACAGGATAAAGAACCCTACATTTAGATACAAATTTTCCTAATGTTTTTTGGTGCATGCTGGTCTTCCGACAGCCATTATTTGCCTCTGGCTAACTGCCGTGTTTCCCCGAAAATAAGACAGAGTCTTATATTGATTTTTGCTCCAAAAAACGCCTTAGGGCTAAATTGCAAGGGATGTTTTATTTTTTTCATGGACAACTTAGGGCTAAATTGCAGGGGATGTTTTCTTTTTTTCATGGACAATCGTCGTCGGCGTTTAGTCGTTTAGTCATGTCCGACTCTTCGTGACCCCATGGACCAGAGCACGCCAGGCCCTCCTGTCTTCCACTGCCTCCCGGAGTTGGGTCAAATTCATATTAGTAGCTTCAGTGACACTGCCCAACCATCTCGTCCTCTGTCGTTCCCTTCGCCCCCTGCCCTCACACTTTCCCAAAATCAGGGTCTTTTCCCATCATCAGGGTCTTTTCCAGGGAGTCTTCTCTTCTCATGAGATGGCCAGAGTATTGAAGCCTCAGCTTCAGGATCTGTCCTTCCAGTGAGCACTCAGGGTTAATTTCCTTCAGAAAGGATAGGTTTGTTCTCCTTGCAGTCCAGGGGACTCTCTAGAGTCTCTTCCAGCACCACAATTAAAAAGCATCAATTCTTTGGCGGTCAGCCGCCTTTATGGTCCAGCTCTCACTTCCATACATCACTACTGGAAAAACCATAGCTAGGGCTTATTTTCAGGTTAGGTCTTATTTTGGGGGAAACAGGGTAGGAGGAAGAAAGGAGCAGGAAGTAGCCTCAGAGAACAGAGGAGGAAGTCAGCCTACCAATCTACAATGCTGTACAAAAGATAAGAGGGGAAAGCACATCTGGGCTGGCTATTTTCCCACTCCTACCTTTTAGATCACTTTCTATGTACAGGTACATTGGTTCAACAGAAAAAAAAACATTGCACCTCACATAATCTGGCATCCTTTAGTGTTTGCCAACCTCCCTAATGGCAGGAAACATTTACATTCTAGTATTCCTAGTTCAGGTGCAGGTATACTTGGTGTGGGCTGGATAGATCAAGGGTCAGGTGGATACACAATTGGCTAAAAAATCTACTCAGAGGGTGATGATTAATGGAACTAGGAAGAGGTAACAAGTGGGGTACCCTCTACTCAGAGGGTGATGATCAATGGGTCCTTCTCCAACTAGGAAGAGGTAACAAGTGGGGTACCCCAAGTCTCAATCATGGGCTCAGTGCTTTTCAACATTTGTTCTAATGACATAGATGATGGAGTGCAGGGACTGCTTGTTAAATTTGCAGATGACACAGAATTGGGAGGAAGAGCTAAAACCATGAAAGACAGAAACAAAGTTCAAAATGTTCTTGATAGGCTGAAGCACTGGGCTGAAAATAACAGAATGAAATTCAACAGGGGCAAGTGCAAAGTCCTGGCACCTTGAAATAAGAAACCAGATGCAAAGTTACAAGACGGGGGATATCTGACTTAGCAATACTAGGAGCGAGAAGGATCTTGGAATTGTTGTAGATCACAAGCTGAACATGAGCCAACAGTGTGATGTGGCTACAAAAAAGGCAAATGCTATTTTAGGCTGCGTTAAAGGAAGTATAGTTTCCAGATCCTGCAAGGCACTAGTTCCCCCCTAATCAGCACAGGTTTAGGCCTCACCTTGAGTATTGTGTCCAGTTCTGGACACCACACCTCGAGCAGGATTATGACAAATTGGAACAGGTTCAAAGGAGGGCAACAAGCATGATCAGGGGGCTAGAAACCAAGCCCTATGAAGAAAGATTGAAGGAGTTGGGCATGTTTAACCTTGAGAAAAGACAGGGGGGTGATATGATAACACTTTTCAAATATTTGAAAGGCTGTCGTACATACAAGGGACAGGATCTGTTTTCAATTATCCCAGAGTGCAGGACACACAACAATGGGCTCAAGTAACAGGAAGCAAGATTTCTATTGAATATCAAGAAAAAATTCCTAGCTGTTAGAGCAGTAAGACAGTGGAACCATTTACCTCTCAAAGTGGTGAGCACTCCAACACTGGAGGCATTCAAGAGAAACTCAGACAATCATCTGGCAGATATCCTTTGATCTGTATTTCTGCATCAAGCAGAGAATTGGACTTGATAGCCCTATAGGCCCTTTCCAACTTGACTGTTCTATAATTCTAAGGCAGGAGAGCAGGGATCTTGAGTTTGTCCATTCATGGTTAGTATCTGGGCAGTCTTCCAACTTGACTGTTCTATGATTCTAAGGCAGGAAAGCAGGGACCTTGAGATTGTCCATTCATGGTTAGTATCTGGGCAGTGGGCCCAGCAGGTACACAGGGTCACGTGGTCCCTCTCATCCTACTCAGGTGATGTGCTGTAGTTCTGTTTACATAACAAAGATAGTTTAGAATTTTGCATGTGTACAAATACGTCAGCATAACCAATTTTATGCAAATCAGTATCCTGTTTTGTCCTCTTTTCTGTTGATGTACAAGTGGACACCCTAACTGAAGATAAAAGATAGTGTCCTTTCTTTGATTCGAAAAAATGACGTCTTCAAAGCACTTGGTTTTCAGCTGCTGACTGTGATTATTCAGTAGCAAAGAAAAATGCCAATAGGCGCTCAGTCTTCTTTCAGAGCTGATCTTTTAAGTTCTCGAGCAGGTTCTTTGGTGGAGTCCTAGTTCAAGTTTTTAAAATGGGCTATATAAACAGAAATAATGATATATTTTCCCATTTATCTTGGCAACTCATGTTTGTTTTGCACACCCAGGCAAAGCTGATTTGTATTACATTGTTTGGATGGAACCCCAGTTTTCAAAAGATGCATGTGTCTCAAAGTCAGGAGGTCTGTGTTTTAAGAAATGCAGCTTCTGGCAGTTTTCTCTTTGTGTTCAAAGCCTGCAGTCTCTTCAAAAATTCTTCAGTGACAGGAGCAGGAGCGATAAGAATGCTGTCTGGTAGCCAACAACAACATAACTGTCGGTTGTTCTTTTTAATGCCTGACCTTGATTCATCGGTGCCAAATGAATCGAATGCAGGTGCTTGCTCAGAGAATTGTGGAATGTTTCAGGAGCCTTCCACCGAAATCATTTGTGGGAAGGGAAGCCAAGTGGTTAACACTCCACCACCTCCGGTAAGGGCCGGAAGTGCGTCATGGAGATGTTCTTTTAATCTTTGGGTATTGCTTTGTCCCAGCTCCTCGCCAACCTAGCAGTTCAAAAGCATGTAAATGTGAGTAGATAAATAGGTACCACCTCGGCGGGAAGGTAAATGGCGCTCCCTAGTCACGCTGGCCACGTGACAAGGGGAAAACTGTCTTCGGACAGGCGCTGGCTCTATGGCTTGAAAAGCGGGATGAGTGCCGCCCCCTAAAGTCGAACACGACTGGACTGAAAATGTCAAGGGGAACCTTTACCTTTTTATTGTCCATGTGTATAGCGATGAAATCACTTTGCGATGGACCTTTTGCCATCACAAAAGCGATCGCTTTGCGATGGTCCCTATGGGGAAATTTCGCTTTGCGATGATCGTTGGGAATCGATCATCGCAAAGCCTTCATTTTCGGCCAGCTGATTGGCGGTTTCAAAATGGCCGCCGGGCAAACAAAATGGCTGCCTGCTATGTTTCCTCGCTTAAGAGGCACCGAAAATGGCCGCTCCTATTGAGGATCTTCGCTTAAAGGTGGGTTTTTAGCCCATAGGAACGCATTAATCGTGTTTTAATGCGTTTCTATGGGCTTTTTATTTTCGCTTAGCGATGTTATCGCTTAGCAGTGATTATTTCTGCACGGATTAACATCGCTACCGAGCACCACTGTATATAGGCTTTTCTTTTCTTTTTTAAAGGAGGGGGTTTAATTCCGGCAGCTCTAGGCCAGGACTGACAAAAGTTCATCCTTTGGGACCACAGCTCAGAGAAGTCGTAACTCTCTGTGACTTCACAAAGTCATAATTGAAGCAAGGATTTTTCTTATAGCTTACAGAGTTAATTGTGAGGTCTTTTAGTAGCTGGCTCAAGGTTAATTCAGCCTTCTATCTTTCTGAGGTCGGTAATACCCAGCATGCTAGAGGATGGGGTGCAATGTGTAGCCTAATTAATTGAATTGTAAACCACCCAGAAGAGAGATGTTTGATGATGATGATGATGATGATGATGATGATGATGATGATGATGATGATGATTATTATTATTATTATTATTATTATTATTATTATTATTATTATTATTATTATTTAACATTTTAATAAAGTGTAAACTTTGCTGAGAAAAACATGAAACTGTGTCACACCTCATCTGTGGATGTCCAAAGATTGTACAAATAGATCACAAAGTTAGACATGGCAGAGTGGCAAAATTAGTGCACTGGTCATTATGCAAGAAATATAACTTTGTTGTTGTTTAGCCGTTAAGTTGTGTCCGACTCTTCGTGACCCCCATGGACCAGAGCACGCCAGGCTCTCCTGTCTTCCATTGCCTCCCAGAGTTGGGTCAAATTCATGTTGATATAGCTTGCTGGCCTTTAAAAACCCATGGGAACATCAGGTAGAGAAGGTGTCAGAAAATGAGGAAGTCAAGATCTTGTGGGATTTCTGAATCCAAACAGACAGATACTTGGAACATAACACGCCAGATGTAGTAGTAATAGAACGAAGAAATGTCCGGATCATT